GTTTTAGACTGGATTGAAGCCCTTTTCCTTGGAGTTTCCGAGGCAAACAGCACTATTATTGCTCATTTTTAGTAGGGGGTTGAACAAACCCATACACCTCGAACCTCTGAAGAAGTATTGAACTTCTGTGCATGAATGATCCTATTTGTGTGTGTGTGTGTGTGTGTGTGTGTGTGTGTGTGTGTGTGTGTGTGTGTGTGTGTGTGTGTGTGTGTGTGTGTGTGTGTGTGTGTGTGTGTGTGTGTGTGTGTGTGTGTGTGTGTGTGTGTGTGTGTGTGTGTGTGTGAGACGTATTATTATTGTCATTGTTTTGATACAGGTCTAAGAATAAAAATCTTTTTTTTTTTTTTTTGCATTTTTAATGCCAATTTTAATAGCAATTTTTAAATAGTCAAAACGATCTCCGTTCACACTAATTCACAAAATTGACTAAAGTCATAGTTTTGTTTTAGATTGTCTAGTACTCACTCAAGACTATATATTAATTGAAATCAATTTTACAAAAATCAGTTTTTGTGATTTACATGTGTTGCATAAAAGATTTTTTCTGAATCATGAGATAATGTGGGCGACGCAGTGGCGCAGTTGGTAGTGCTGTCGCCTCACAGCAAGAAGGTTGCTGGGTCGCTGGTTAGAACCTCGGCTCAGTTGGCGTGTCTGTGTGGAGTTTGCATGTTCTCCCTGCCTTCGCGTGGGTTTCCTCCAGGTGCTCCGGTTTCCCCCACAGTCCAAAGACATGTGGTACAGGTGAATTGGGTAGGCTAAATTGTCCGTAGTGTATGAGTGTGTGTGTGAATATGTGTCTGGATGTTTCCCAGAGATGGGTTGTGGCTGGAAGGGCATCCGCTGCGTAAAAACTTGCTGCATAAGTTGGCGGTTCATTCCGCTGTGGCGACCCCGGATTAATAAAGGGACTAAGCCGACAAGAAAATGAATGAGATAATGTGAAAACACTCCAGGGCTCTGTTGCAGATTTCTAACAACCCCTCAAGCCTCTAACAACTCCCTAACAGCAGAACTAATCATTTTCACCTACTGTTATTAATTAACCCATGTGTATTGTTCAAATTTACCACCCTTTCGTTATGTTCATGGCTGGTTTTGCCCAAGTGACTTCTATTATAATTACTTTTTTGATTGCAAAGCTATGACAGCATATAATCATGCATTCTTGATTTTTGGTGGTTCCTTGTTTGGAAGAGGTAAAATTTGTAGTTTTTACTGTTGATCGTCTGTTGGCAGCCTTAACCCTTTAGATCGACCTGTGCAAAAATGTTTCTGGCTATTGGAGTAATATGGAGTAAAACAGCAGATTATACTGTGTGTGTGTGTGTGTGTGTGTGCGTGTGTGTGTGTGTGTGTGTGTGTGTGTGTGTGTGTGTGTGTGTATGTATGTGTGTGTGTGTGTGTGTGTGTGTGTGTGTGTGTGTGTGTGTGTGTGTGTGTGTGTGTGTGTGTGTGTGTGTGTGTGTGTGTGTGTGTGAG